GCCCGGCCCCCGGCGGCTCCCAGATCCCCCCAGAGGAAGGCACGGGGATACTCAGGGGGATGGAGCCCCTCTGCTCCGGACTCCGCTGAGGGTGTCCAGCCTGGAGAAGAGAAGCTCCAGGGAGAGCTCAGAGCCCCTTGCAGCGCCTAAAGGGGCTCCAAGAGACCTGGAGACGGACTTTGGACAAGGGACGGATTGGAGACACAAGAGGGAATGGCTTCCACTGCCAGAGGGCAGGGTTGGATGGGATGTGGGGGAGAAATTCTTCCCTGTGTGGGCAGCGAGGCTCTGGCACAGGGTGCCCAGAGAAACTGTGGCTGCCCCATCCCTGGAAGTGTCCAAGGCCAAGTCGGATGGGGCTTGGAGCAAGCTGGGATAGTGGAAGGTGTGTCAGAGATTCGGAACGATGGCCCTGAAGATCCCTTCCAACCCAAACCATTGAGGTGTGGAGGGGAAACGCTCCCCTGGCTGTGACACATCCCTCCCCCACAGCCTGGACTCTGCCCTGAGCTGTGCTCTGGTGTGGGGGGAACGAGGAACAGACCGGGAGCTCCTCTGGGGCCAGCAGAAAACACACACAGATAAGTTGGCAAACAGAAGCCCTGCTGTCCTGCTGCTCCTGAGGGCTGGGAAAGGGACTGGCAGGCTGGCAGGCCAGGTGGGCCAGCTCACGGGGCATCAGTCACATCGCTCAGCGACTCTCAGGGTCCACCCAGGGCAGGGTGGGCAGCAGGGCCACTTCCAGTCTGGCCTGGCTCAGTTTCAGGCACAGCCAGGACCTGGTCCCTGCATTGCCTGCCCTGAATCCACCAGCATTTGGCAGCTGCAGGAAGCCAGACCCTTTGGGGGTTACCCAGAGCAGGTCAGGAACCACGACACGCTTCAGCCAGCCAGGACAAAACGCTGTGTGACAGAAGGGCTGGACAATAAGCCCTGTGGAAAGCTCTGGAAGGGCTGTCACAGAGCTTTGTGGCAAGCCCCAGTTCGCTCCCATCAGACAGCCAGGCGTGTTGGGAGGAGCAGGATGGGCAGATCCTTGTTCAGCTCAGGATGTCGGATGGGAACAGGGTGCTGGGGGCACTGCCAGGCAGTAGCTGAGAGCCAGGGGCACCACTCCATCCTGGGACTGGCAAACCTCTGCCTGCCTGCCTCCTGCTGCTGCCCTGGAAAGCCATTTCTTCTTGGAAAAACACCTCAGCAATGCTGTCACCACCGAGCTGGCTCATCCCCTGTTAACTCCAATGCATCTGAGATAGAAATCAGGCAGTGACGGCACCGTTCCACAGCCATCTCCCCGCTTCCAGTAAAACATAAAAAGAAAATAAACCAGCACTGGCATTTCAAGGCAATTATTCAAAGGGTCAAGAGATACAGACCAACACTGAGGAGCTGGAAAACATCAAGTCCCTCTAATGCATAAGGATAACAGGATAAGGCTGTCAGTTACCCTGCAGGGAGGGAGGCAGGGATCAAGCCTTTATAATCAAGTTTTGGGTTCCTCTGGCCTTATCTGCTGCTGGGCTGTCATTGTCCACAGCACACAGTAAAACATTCAGGTGTGACCATGCCCTGCGGGCTGCAGTGAGCACGGCAGGGCTCTGCAGAGCCCTAAGCACAGATGCCCCATGCAGCAGCATCCAGGACACAGCTGGATGTGGCTGGATGCGCTCTGTGCTCTCCTTCCCTTGGTTCTTTATCTACAAATTCCCAAGGAGCTGCCCAAAGTGAGTAGAATCAAAAAAATCAGCAGCAAATATATATTTTTTTCCCTGTGCAAACTCAGGTAGAATAGAGCCCCCAATGAGAATGTGGGAAGGGAAGAGGAAAAGCAGCTCCAGCAGGTGCTCATGGTAAACATCTGCTCCCCAGAGCTGTGCTGCTGGAGAGGCTGTACCGAGCTCCAGCTTCTCTTGTGGAGAAACTGGGCCAAAAGTAATGCAGAGGCCAGGCAGGATCTGTGCTAGCAAAGGGGCTGGGCTGCTCTCCTCAGCTATCTGAGAGAGAACAGGAGCTTTGCCTGTAATGCCAAGCTTGGAAATTGACTGTTCAGTGGCAACGCAGCCCTTGGCCCCATCAGGGAGAGCGGAGCAGTGACAAAAGCTGTGTGTAGCCATAAGGCTGTGTTTACCCCAATAACATCATTTTCCATCAGGTCCAAGTCATTCCCTGTGCCCTGGATCCCTGCAGGAGTGGGGATGGAGCCGAGGCTCCTGCACTGCCCCGTCAAGCACAGCTCCAGCTGGAGTCCAGCGACTCCGTGCCAAGCAATGATGTTACTGATGACCATGGAAAGGAACCAATCCCCAACTGGAGGAAAAGCATTTTTGCAGAGAAACATCATCGCTGAAACCCTATAAACAAATCTGTTTTGACACAGCAGAACAAAGAGCTATAAAAGGAGAGATCGAGAAAACCACCGCTAATGGGCGGTAATTCACGTGGTGCCTGCCAGGCTGTATTTTTGTAATTTGTATCCCCCTGGGATGCTGGCCTACGATTTCCAGAGCACAGAGGAACTTGGGAACAGCCCAGCCAGATGTGCTCAGCACCCCTTGTCTGGGAAGATGCTCTGGAGCAGGACATTGAGCAAGCAAAGGGCTTTACAAGAGCCACAGGTGATGGCCTGGGCTGTCCCAGGAGCTCCTCGGGGCTGGGCTGGCACCCACCAGACTCTGCTCTCCCTGGAGTGGAGGCAAAGCAGTGTCCAGGACGTCTGTTTTGTCTGCATGGTGTTTGGGAAGAGCATGACAGCCGTGG